TTTTGTGTGTATGGGTGTGTGTGTGTGTGTGTGTGTATGTATGTATATACGGTGTGTGTGTGCGCGTGTGGTGCGTGTGTGTGTGTGTGCTTCTGTGTTGCACAACAAGGACAGGCAAACACATGTGGGTGCAAGGAGCTACACAAATCACACTCTGAATCAATTAGAAAGCATAAATGTGAGAAGTCCTACGGCAGCCTGGTATACAGTTTAATGCTGGCTTGATTACAGACACACACCACACCCATACAACACACACACATCCAGACAAACAGCCAGACACACTCACACAGTGAGGGTGCGGGTATGATCTAACTCATAATTACACATGAAAGCAATCCAAAAATTATGCTTTTTTTTTATTCTACTGGATTCGGTCTTCTCTTGATGTGCATCTTTATTTTTTTATTACATGAAACACACACATTCAGACAAAACTCTTACTCACACACAGTAGCTGTCTGACAGACAGTTAAACACAGTGAGTTGTCAGGGAGTTGTCCTGATTTAACCGAAGAGATGTGTGTTTGTCCATTTTAGTTCAACAGTTTCCACCTCTGTTACATAACTCTGTCTTATTGACTGCACACCTATTGTATATTATCTTGCGTGTCTGTGCTTGTGTTGCATTCACAGATTTACAACATTCGTATCTGTTCAATTTATGTAACTGGGTATTTTTGTTGTGTTTTTGTTGCTTACGTCTGGACAGCAAGTAACTAGGGAGCTAATATTTCTATAGACAAAGGTCAATAAATAGAAATAGAGATAGCTAGCTACAGAAAAGGTTAACGTTATACTGCACTGCTATTTGCTTAATCAAAAGGTACATGCCATGCTGTTTTACAGTGTCCTAGAGATTTCCTTTCTATTAATGTTTTGAAAATCAAATGCGACCCAGCCATTTAGCACTGCACTTCCACAAAGATCGGAAAATTTGGTTTAAGCTGTTACAAATTTGTAGTCTCCAAGCCCAAATTCAGTTACCTCCTGATGGCATCTTCAAGGTTTTTTTTCTCAGACTTTATAAAAAGCTCCCTGCAGAGCTAAAGAAGACATTAGTACTCCCACAGAAGTAGGAGCAGTAATCCTCACAATAAGCAAACTGAACTTCATGTGTAAAATATCTGTTTTCTTTTATTTTGACAGATGGGTAAAGCTCACATTGGTATGCACCTACGGAACTACAAATATTATCCAATGTACCTTTAATAAACTCCATTAAAACAAATAAACCTCACTCCAATGTACTGCCGGAGACCAGTCAAGCCAAGCCAAAAATCTTTAACAGGGAAAAAAGGGAGGAAGTCTCAGGAAAATGAAGTAGAGGAATCCCTCTTCCAGGCCCGACATACACATAATACTGGTACTACTAGTAATGTTCCTGTTTAGAGCAGCAACTAACAATTGTTTTGATAATCAATTAATGTGACGTTTATTTCCTCGATTAAACATTTGGTCTATAAAACAGTGAAAAAATATCCATCCCAGTGTTTTGGCCTACAGTGCAAACCCAGAGATATTCAAAATACTATAATGCAAGAACAAGAAAAGCAGCCAAACCTCTTAAAATATTTGGCATTGCTGCTTGAAAAATGGCTTAACGACTAACCAATCATCAAAACAGCTGCAGATGAATTATTTTTTGATCAACTAATCCATTAATCAGTTATTTGCTGCGGCTAACTCTAATCCTTAATAAGCAGATTTGGTATTGGCCGGATATGACTGATCCATATTTTAAAAATCGTTGTCACTGGAATGAAACAGGGTGTTGTGAGTCTACGTTTTGTGACTCAGCTCACTGATCCAACTTACATCTGTCTGCACTATACCACTACAACCACAGCCATTACTCCATTACATCAGGACACTCCCAGTGTATTCCAATGGGATATTGTTGCAAGGCACGTACTGTCCTACTACACCTATGTGAGAAATGGATAAAACCCAGATTAATATCGCACATGCACGCACACCGTTCTACACACACAAACACACACCTACAAAGTTGTGCACACAAAGCTTGGGAACAACAAGCACCTGTGAAAAGACACACATCTGTGAGGGTCTGAGAGAAACCATGGCTCATATATATATACTGTTCCAAAACGGACACAGACTGTCGCCCATCCGCCCAGCAATCCACCCACAAACCATCCATTCGAGCCAGGAAGCAACAGACCAAGTAGCTGATCAGGCAACTTATCTGGTAGTTAAACACATAAAACAACCTCCTCCGCAATGTGCAGATGAAAGGAAGGGAGACAAGAGAGGAGAAATCGACTAATGGTGTAAAAAGGGGATGGCAAGGGCTGCGGTTATTAAAATGTTCTGTCATTTAATGCACTAAATTGATAACAGTGGCCCTTTTAAACGTGGATAATGATGGTGAAATCATCATTTCGGTATCAAAAATAACAAGTGGCTCAGGTAAGATGATAAGCACTGAAAATCCTTTGATATTAGAGGAAGACCACAACTACAGTGGATCACTCTCTCTCTTAAAGTGTGAATTAACTATATTTCCCCCCGTGGGTTGAGACTCTTGGATAGGTTTACACACAGACGAGTTCGATGTTTGGACCCGAGCTAGTTTAACATCATGTTTCACACCAGTAAAGCATTCTTCTGCATTCTTCGTGCATTCATGAGGAAAGGTTAAAAACTGTTGTTTGTTTCTCTCATGCGTAGCTAATCACACTTCTAAATTGCCTTTTTGTCTTTCTCTCCCTTATCTGCTGATTATGTTCTCTATTAACCAATTATTTGTTTGGTCTGTGCTTTTTTTTTGCTTAAATAATGGCTTACATAATGAATCAGTTATCAAAATAGTTAGCAGATTAATTAAGATCAATGAATTGATTAATTGGTGCAGCTCTAATTCTAATCCTTATTGAGAAGACTGGCCAGACAGGACTGATCCACGTTAGAAATGATAGGAGTGATTCCCTCTCTATCTAGTTGCAGATACCAGGGCAATCCCTTGTGCATTGTTCATTCAGTCATTCTCCCATTGTTTCCTGTTCTGTTCTGCTCATTTGCTGCGGTGAACTAATGTCACTACAAGAGTGACTCATAGCTTCGAACAATCAATTCCACGCAGTGAGGTATACAGATTCTGAATAAGACCACAGGTATTGGATCGGTAGTCAGTATCTGCAGAGTCTTAGTTAAACCACTGAAACAACTAATCGATTAATTGATCCTCCTATTTGAGAAACTGGAGCCTGAGACTGTTTGCCATATTCATTTCTTGAGCCAATTACTGATTATCATGATCATTGTCAGTTAATTCTAATCTGTATATGGACTAATAGCTGAAGTTCAAGGTATGTCATTGATCGTTTTTATGAGATGTTTACGCTCTCTGTCTAACACACAGACACACACACACACACACACAACTTCCACATTCCCCACAGTTCATGCAGAGCGGTCTTTGTGGCCTTCCAAGAGTCAGTGTGTCCAGCCAGGCTCGAGTTACGGCAGACAAGATCTTCTCTCTCTCACACACACACACACACACACACACACATACTCAGTGACATTTTCGAGCATCCATCATCTTACAGACACATCACTGAACGGGCCAGGGAGCAACAAGAGACCACTGGTTTGTTGCTCTTCTAACATATCCTCCCTGACTCTGTCACTCCCTACTGTCTATAAGTAGTAGAAAAAGAATAGCCATACAACATCTGTCAAGCCCCAGGTCTGTCTGTCCTGCCAAAGTGCCCTTGACCGAAGACATCCCGTGATGCTATGAGACTGAAGAGGAAGAAAAGAGGAATTCCCATCTCTAGGTATGAAAAAATAACATGAAAGAAAGATATAACAATAAAAGGTGAGGTGCAGTGACTAATGGACTCAACAATAGGTTGAATCACACACCTGTAGAACTGTCTAAAGCCAGCTCCAAAAGCAGATGACACAAAGAAGCAGACCAAAGGCAAACACATATTCACACACACACTGACTTAACTGAACTGGATGGCACGAAATGAAATCTAATGATGAAACAGATGCATGTAAAGGAGACTTATGTCGCTGTCAGCCTCAAGGAGAAGAGCAGATTCTGTCTATTTATGGAGCTTTGAAATAAAGTGGATTTTAGGATAATAAGCTGGAGCAGCCTTGCACAGTATGAAATCAAAGCAGTGAGGTCATTATGGGTCATTATTAAAAGAAAAGACGTTAAGCTGACTGACTGAAGATGTTGCTCAAAGTGTGTGTGTGTGTGTGTGTGTCACATCTATTCTAGGAGAATTCCAGCAGGGAGACCCTGTGACTGACCCCCACCTCACAGGATCTGACAAGATATCACCACCCAGACACACACACACACACACACACCTATATACCAGTTTTATATGTATATATGCACTTATACACAGAAACAAATAAATGATGGGAGTGTCAGACATACACAGCCTCGCATATACAAGAGACAGTGAAGTGATAAACTGCGAGCACAATTTTCTATTATTTACTATTTATATATATTTTAAATGCATTTGTGCCTTGTGTAAACTTCTTTGAATCGCCTCTGTGTTTAAAAGGTGCTACACTTTTCTTACCCTATTCAGTACATTAGCTATAGTGATCAAATTATGCTTCGAAATCAGATTAATAGCATACTGGTTTGCCAATAACAGCAAAAGCGCACTGCAAAAAGTCTTACGTTATAATTATAATAATTGCATACTCTCCTAAAATTAAAAACAATTTTATTTTAAAACATCAATTTAAAAAGGGTTAAAAATCTTTTTTTGACAAGAAAATGTAGCTTTCTGTGCTCAGTATCCAAACACAATTCAGTTCTTAGACTTCTGCATAGGCTACTCGAGTAGCAAGACAAAAAAAAACATAAACATTTTTTTTTTTTTTTAAATTGCACTTAAATCCAAGAGTTAAGCTGTCTAACAGAATTTAATACCTGAGAATACTTCAAAACCAGTCTTTTTTTTTATTTCAAAGAAAAATAAGACTTCACTCACATTAGATTGGGCTAGTGTTTTTTTTTTTTTGCAGTGGGCAGGTTGACCCCCTTCAGTGATCCGCTACAATCTGCGCGTCCGATCTCCAAACTTCCTGTGACACAACAGGAGGATCCCCCCAATGTGGGAGAGCACGCGCGCGCGCACACACACACACGCACGCACGCGCGCACCAATACGCGCGCGCAAACAGAAATACTTCAATAAACACGCCCTAGTTATCAAAAACCCTGCAGCTGGCGACACGCGCGATATCCCTACAGCGCACGAGACGGTAAACACACGGTAAAGTTTCTAAACACGGAGCGGAGAAAACGCTCGTTTTTTTTTTTGACACCATCTCCTACCTTTTTCTCACCCCCTCCTCCTCCTGCTCCTCCTCCTCTTCTTCACTCCTCCTTCAGCCGTTTCCAAACTCTGTCACGACGAGGCTCGCCGCAGACTGCGAAACCAAACAGCCGCTTTTTTTTCGGTAACCGGGGAACAGAAGCGGAGAGAGTACAGACGTTTGCTCAAACATGCAGCGACTCCGTGTGTGAGCGTGTGAGTGTGTGTGGATATGTGTGTGTGTGTGTGTGTGACAGCTCATGGAGAGAATGAGCAGGGAGAGGAGAACCGGGGAACTTAGGGGGAGTTCCCGTTAACAGACAGGCGGGGCGGGGGCTCGAGTAGAGTGACAGGCTGGTCAGTTTTTAGTATACTATATATACAGTATATAGACACAAAGTACATTTACCCAATTACTGGATTAAGTGGTATTAAGCAGGCTTTCCATAGTAGTATTTCCTTTTTGTCCAACTTAATAGCCTTTCTCCCATTATATTCAAATAAAATGGAGCCTATGTTATAATAATATCACCATAATATGTGATATTGCTATTAGTTTAAGTTGACGACTAACGATTATTTTCCACTATTTAACAGTCTTCATTTCAAATACTCATTTCAGCTCAACAATTAAACTACTAATAATTAAATAATGCTTCAATAGTTAAACAATTTTGGAGCCAGTATTTTCTTTGCTCAGTATAATATTTGGAAACAGACCGACCCAAGATGTGGTTGCTATTTTAAGTAGTTGTGAAGCTCTCTGAAACTGCCATATGAGAGGCTTAACTGTTTTCTTGAGAGAATGGAAAAGAATGGGGAGAATCTGCCCTCCCCTCCTAGTTTTAAAAAAAAAAGGGCTCAATGATCTGTTTCCCCAGGTTATTTAGAGGAGATGTGGTACTACTCATCCTACTGTGAATCTGTTAAGATTTGCTGTGCCTGCATTGATTATGTCAGAAAGCAGTAAATGTGTTTTTCTTTAATTCACTATCACTAGAAAGGAATCCAGTGACATTTGGAGAAACCGTAGTCAGTCCAACAGTACAAGAACTCGCTTAACCACTAAAAGGTTTCACCGGTCTTGTAACAACCACAGTCTGAGTGAGTGAGATTTATACCTTGGGCCTCTTTCAATAATCAATGAATTATGAATTGTAAGACTGAAATGTGTTTACATCAGGCAGAAGGTATAGTTTAACCACACTACTTGTTCGGAGACTCCTGTGCTCAAAATCTGTGTTTCTATGGAGACCAGGTAGTCTCGACTACAGCACGGACTGCAGAGCATGATACAGTTTGAGTTTATAAATGTAGACAAGAAGATCATTTTTTTGAGTTGGACAGGTGGCTGACTGCGACACCCACGTGACGACTTCAGGTGGAGAGCTGCCTATACCGCTGCTTTATTTTTTTGGTTACTCCTTTGTGTTTCCTTAATCAAAAGCGATGTAAAAATGCTCTGTGGAGACTTTAATTATCTCCCCTGTTTATACATGCACAACCTCTGCCATTAGATACACATGGTCAAAAGAGGGTCGATGGGACTCTATCAGTGTTATGAGAGGCATTGAGGACGCCGGCGCCACTTGATGGTGGACTTGAAACCGCAGTTTTAGCAGATGACCCAAGACGGGGGGGGAAAAAACAGCTAAAATGGGATATGGCCTGTGGTTGCGTCGCTGGCGGTGTAAAGTTACCTTGCTGATGAGTGAGTAAGACCTGCTGATGGACGATGTGCAGTGGATTTGATTTAAAGCACCCCAGCTCTTCACACACACACACACACACACACACACACACACACACCTAAGATCCCCCTCTAAATGCTGCTGGAATGTATCTCCTGTAACAACATCAACTATCACAAGGCCTGCATCACATGACAAAAAGGGCTGTGTGTGTGAGTGAGTGTGGGTTTGCGTGTGTGTGTGTGTCTATATATCTCTGAGAAGGTGTGTGCACATGCTGGACAGTACGTTGTTCTGCCCACGGGGTAAAAATAAACACTAACAGAGCGTTACAGGAAGGGTTCCAGATAGAAGGACAACAAGAAGTCGCCTAAACATTTTAAACCGCTTACATAACGAGTCCCTGATGGCAACAGCGAGCAGAATACAATTTTACCCACCATCTAATTTTGTTTGCAGTGCCCGGGAACATTTCCCAGATGTATTGCACCCATTGAAGAGTGAAACCTTAAAGCTTCAAGTTTAAAGTTTACCCAAATTACCAAAACAGTATTTTTTTTCTCATTTACCATCAGTGGTATTTAATCACAGAGACTGAGAGTTGCACAGATATTAGAAGGACAGTCTCTGAATATTCTTTGCGGTGGTCACAGCATTGAAAAAAGACATTAATGTCTGTGCAGAAATAATGTCCCCATTGCTCTGAACAAACCTCGTTGTGCACAGTTTTATTGGAACTACTTTTTTACCAAGACAGTGAGGTCTGTGGAGTAACAGAAATACATGTTGCTGTTAATTTGTTTAATGCTGTTAGCACCACAGCTTACCATTAACCTCAGTCTAGGGTAGGGTAGCCACATTGGTTCATGTGAACATTTATGTGCTGTCGTCGTCATCATCTTCTT